ATCTATCTATCTGTCCGTCCGTCCGTCCGTCCGTCTGTCTGTCTGTCTATCTATCCACCCATCTGTCTGTCTGTCTGTCTGTCTGTCTGAATTGCATTCAATCCTAGAGGAAATCTGACTGTTTTTTTCTCCTTATGGATGTAGTCAGCAGCCCATCACAGAGAAAGTGCAGATCCAGGTGAACCGTATCAGCATGCGTGATTATAGTCTGTGTATTTGTGTGCACATCTGATAACGAGACAGAGAGAGTGAGAGACAGCGACATTTTTGTGCCAAAGTCTCCTGTGAGCGAGCACAAATCTGCGTGTTGCTCAAATGTGAGTCCATCCAGGACAGGACAGTCCCTCATAAAGGCCCCTGCTATTAAAAACTCATTTATCTGTGTTTACATTCACCCTCCCCCAGCCTGACGCACAGCAGATCGCTGAAAAAACACATCCCATCTGTCAGACCACATTGTAGCAGTTGTTCTGTTACAGTAAATTATACACATCTCACAAACAATGAGTGTCCCGCCCCCCACAGCATGTAAACACATCCTCCTCTCTGTTGTCTGTCCATCCCATCATGCTCTCGCAGGGTTCACCAGACGCATGCTGAAGGCCAAACGGAAAGCGCGAGCATGGATAGTGACACACACAAGCAAACTAGCGATCCAGAGACTCCCACGAAGCCAGGCTTGTGCAGGTACATCTCAAACTGAGCGCTTTGTGGTCTAATTCAGACCTTCACGTCCAAAGCTTTGATTGTTTCCATGACAACACGATTATGCCTTTTTATAGCAAACATCATTACTAAGCTAAGAATGTTATCCATCCCACGATTCCATGTGCATAATTAGGGCTCTGTAATGCCCATCTGCAACAAAAGTGCACTACAATGGCACAATAATTCCATGGTACTTTGAAATATACCATTGCACCATGTCATTTTTTTGTTAGTGAGAGGGGCAGAAGATATCCATTTCAAATGAATATCTTACATAAGCTTGTCTTTGCCCAATGTCTTTCATCTTGAAGGAGGGGAGCAAAAATTATGAATTTGGATCGTTCAAACACAGTTGATGAGGACTCAGTGAATGTGCCAAGGTACATACAATATTTAATAATCATCGCTGGCGAGACAGACAGATGTAGTTGGCTTTGATTATGAATAGTGGTATTAATATTCCATTTTAATTTCACAGGTTAAATTCGGGCTGGAATGACAGTGATCAAGGTACACACATTTAATATAAAAAATAGTTTATTGTAATTATATATATATATATATATATATATATATATATATACACAGTATCTCTTCTCCTCGTCCTCTCTCTTTTTCACAGCTCTGAGAACCTACTCATGCACTCCCGGAAAAGCTTCTGCTTTTCAAATACGACTTAATTTAAACAGATCCTAACCCGTGTTTCCTCTTTTCTTTCACCTTCTCAGCGATTCCTATGGGGATAATTACAGTTCCCGGCAACAGTGATTTGGAGACGTGCCGGCTGCATATCGAGAAGCTACATGAGGTGCTTTTCAGCTTGTTGAATCCTGGTTAGAAATGTGCCAACAGGCTGATTTGGCTACAACCTCCTTCCTCATTTGCAGAGGTTAAGGGGAGGATCTGAACTGTCAAAGACTGGCTTGATGTCAACATGAAATCAGAATTGACTATTTACCTTCTTAATCAATGTTACTTGTCTTATTGTGAACGATTCATCTGTGCATGTTATCCCAAAAAAAAAGTTTGTCTTTGTAATCATTCATCAAAATACAATAACTTACTCCACCTCTAAAACAACTTTCCTTTTCAGTGACATCATCAAGCCCTTTTATTTTCAACTCTGCCCATTTGGCATGAAACACCCTTTTTAACAATCCAAACAATTTCTAATAGATAAAATCCTGTCCTACTTGTTTTTTTCATTGTTGTTGAAAATATTGTTTCAATCATATAGAAGTCAGATAACTCTAGTAAAATGGGTTGCAATGGTGACTTTAACTAGGTCATTCTTGGCTAAATAAGAATACTTCTGTGTTAATGCAACCTCTTGGAAAGAAACTACATTTTTCATTTAATTTAGCTCGAAATCTATTTCCTGTGGTGACATTAACACGTCTTTGAAACGCAAATGGTGTATTTTACTTTTAAGAGTCACTTTCCACTATAATTGCCACTATTCATGCCAAACATGTTATATTGAGCATGTGACAGCCATTGCACGTTGACTTCCTGTTCAATTACAGTCACAAAAACACATTGTGACTAATTGAACTCACACAGTGAGGCCATTTTGGACAAGAGCCATTTTTCACTTGCACTTTCTCCTAAATTTTTTTCCCCTCTGTCTTTCTCTATTTAGGAGGGGGATGGTGTGAATACAGACACACTGCACATGCCAAAGCTTTCACCAAAATGGTGCTTCCTGGATTGTAAGTAGTAGAGCATTTCAAGTTCATTTTGAAAAAACAGCATAGAAGTTATCTAAAAAATAGTGTTATAATTCTATATACATAGCTTAGGCTGTCTATGTTGAATCATTTTTGTGAGATTCATTGCTCTTGACATTTCCAAAACTTTGCAAACCCCATAATCAGATTTTTCCACCTTTGGATTGTTTACAGCCACTACAGCAGACCGTTTCTACAGAATAGACCGCGGTCAGGTACCTACAACAGGCAACTTTGACTTGTTACATCTGTGTTGCATGTCACACTGTGCCGATTTCATTGCGTATCTCTGCAGGAGCATCTAAACTATGTGACGGAGATCTCTCAGGATGAGCTTTTCATCTTGGACCCGGAGCTGGTCACCAAGGAGACGGTGGGCACGTCGCCCGGAATGCCGGGGGCGATGGAAACTGTTGGGGAATGTTCCAACAGCACAGACCAGTTTGCTTTTCCCGCCTGCTCTGCCGGGCCTTCTCCGCTGTGCAGGTAGATTGAAACGAGTCGCTTCAGATGACAAAATGTGTGGTTAAACTGTATCAGCTCATGTTGTTAGGGCTGCAAACAGCTTTTGCACAGCCTCAAGGTGCAATTTTATGTCGCTTTTTACTTTGGCAGATGATTTTAACACCGTCAACTAGCAGAGTACGTGCGTAGGCAGGTTTAGTTTTGCCTGTGGGCATGAAATGTCTGAGAATATCCCCGGAAAAACAGCAAAAGTGCACAAAACCCTCATTAAGGAACTAAAAAAATGTCTTAATTATTAATGTCTTGTTAATTTTGCCAAAACAGATGTAGGTTTAGCTTGAATCCATAAGAATGATAATTTTCTTTATTATGCACAACTGATGTGAATGCACTTACAAAAAAGTACCAGAAAGTACCATGGTAATATTATGATGTTGTTTTTTGGACTTATATGGAATATGTAATATGGAAAAAGCATGGTATATGAATATGCTAATTTGATATTACTATCTCATGGCATTACTGTAGTCCTATCACAGTACTTTTTTATAAGTGTAGGAAGTCCCAAAAAAATAGTATACAGTAATATAATATATAGTGTGGTCTAAATGTCTGAAACCACTAGAAAAAAACAAAACTGATTTAATACATTTTTTCATCAAAAAAGAATTATACTTATTTATTAGAAATAAAGTTAATATTAATACAACAAACTATTATAAATATATATTTATATTCAAATTAATTATTATAATAAGTATCTTAAATTATTTAAATTTCAAAATATATTATAACATATCAAAATATATTTTATACTAAGTATTTTATGTATTAAATATATTAGCATAATAATTTAAGTAAAAATTTGAACTGGCATTATATATTTATCTTTTTTGTTACTATTAATACAATAAATTGTTATAAATATATAAATCAATAATTATGATAAACTAATATTAAAGTACTCATATTTTTCAAATTATTTAGAGTATAATTAGATATGATATATAATTGTATTAATTAATTAATTAATTAAAAAAAATATTATTAATAAAATAAACTATTACAAATATACAATTATTATTATTAGTATCAGAATTTTGTAAAATATAATTTAATAAAATATATTATCACATATTAATGCATTTTCTATAATTTCCTAGAGCCATTTTGTACAATAAAAACACTCATATTTGTCTTTGTCATGTCTTTCAGAATCAGTCAGTTTGCTCTTTGATGCCGTAAAGTCTGGCAACCTCGAAAAGGTATTCATAAAATAACCTATTCCTGCAATATCATACATTAGCATCACCAGACCTAATGGACCTCTTCTCTGGTCGTTCATGTTCTCAGCTGGTTCAGATGCATGAAGGTGGGGCCAACCTGTTGGTCCAGGACCGTTTTGGCTGCACCCTCCTCCATCATGCAGTCCTTATAGGCAGTAAAGAGATTCTGAAGTATATAATTGATAATGGTGAGTTGGTTGGACTTCATTTTTTGATTTTTGACTTTTGACTTGCGTCTCATTTTTAATTATCTTTCACTGTTTTTGGTGAACAGCTCCGGCCTGCATCCTTGATGTGACAGAGAAATCAACGTAAGTAGTGCTGGAGCCACTCCGGCATTTTTACTCCATTTAATTTGTGGTGAAAGGGATAAAGGAGCTAGATTTGATTGACATTCATGGTTAGGAGGTGTTTCTCTGTTTTTTATTCAGAGGGGAGACGGCCCTGCATAAGGCAGCTGCGTTGTGCCAGAGAACAATCTGCTATTACCTGGTGGAGGCCGGAGCATCCCTCATGAAGACAGATCTACAGGTGAGAACATTCACATGGACCTTATACCTGTACCTTATTTCTTAACATTTCCTTGGATGATATTTAAACACTTGATATGTTTTTTTTTTGGCTAATGTCATAGCCTAAAAAAGTTTCACCGCCCCCTTGCATATAAGTGTTTTGAAACAGTATCCATATAAATCGTCATTTTTTTTAAACAAAGCATTATGAAATTGTTTATAATTGAATAATTGAAATTGCATTATGAATACGGTTTGCGATGCAGTTGCTCTCAGATGTAGTACAGTTGACTGTTTCCCACTTATCAGTTCTGTTTCCTCCACAACAAAAGTTTCTCGAACTCTCCATTACACTGTGCCTCGTTTACAAAACAATCTGCAGTCAAATGCTCCGAGTAAACATATAATCCTCCGACGTGATCCGGGACATCATTCAAATAAATCATACACTTGTTTCTGATGCTGAGGATCTTTTGAAATCTCTAGAGATGGAAACGAGCTGGACGCGTCAAAGCAAACATCCATTTATTCTTCCATGTGTTCTGTTGTCAGCAGTACGTCAAGAATACTGGAGACAGTATAAATGATTATAATGCGTTCTGTTTGTTTTTTGACGCGATGCGAAGCCCTTGTCCGATGAATACCGATAAATGACTGAATGCCAGTGGGCGGGGCTTATGGTGCTATGATGTATAACTATTCGCCGATGTGCTGCTCTGGAGGCAGTCATATGCAAATGTATTTGACAATGTGATGTCACAGATCCCGCAATATTCAAATAAGCATTTTTTTAAACTTTGTTAAACGTATTATTACTTTAATAATATATTACTATTACGTGTGTTTAAGCAATTTATTTTTATTTTTACTACCAAGCATGTTAAAATAAAAGGTGGCAAAAACAAGAAAAAAAGAAATGAATTAAATAAGAAAAAATGTCTTTCTCATATCTTATTATTATTATTATCATAATTTTGTTTATTTTATCTATAATTGTAAAAATTTCATTTTATTATAATAGATCTTATTTGTTTATTTATAGCATACTTATTATGTGTATAAATAAAAGGAGGCAAAACTAAGAACATTTATTTTAATAATATATTCCTGCATTATCACAATAAGTTTGTTTGTTTGTTTTATTTGTCTATAATTGCAAAAAGTATTCTGTATTATATCATATTGTTATATTATATCTTTTATTTATTTATTCATTCCAGCAAGTATCAGTATAACTAAAAAGTTGCAAAAACTTTTGCAAAAAAAATCTAATTAATTAATTTAAAAAATCGTTCTGTCATTCTGCAGGGTGAAACTCCAAAGATGTACGCAGAAAGAGTTCGAGACATGGAGTTGGCCGCATACTTGGAAAACCGACAACACCACCAGATGATCCAGAGGGAGGACCATGAGACGGCTGTGTGACCGGCCTCCGGAACCATCCTTTCCATCCGCCACCAAACCACAGTCTTATCTGCTCTCTCCCATGGCCGCTTTATCCGGTACGGCCACACGTTAGCGATGCTAAGAGGCAGCATGTGTGCGGAAATTAGTTTGTTGCTCTCTGTATTGATTGTAATGCCAAAAAGACAGTGTTAGTGTCATGTTTCAGAATGCATGAGTTTGCTACGTCAGGCCCAGCTTTCAGGGCTGCGCAAAACCGCTCCGCTCCTTAGGACCCAATGTGCAAAATTTGGGGAATTTCAGGGCTGAAATACCATGTATGAAAGTGGCTTTTACTAAACTACTATAAAGAAAACCAGACAAACCTCATGAGAGATTAACAGGAGAGGTTTTTGCTGCTTCTGATTACATAATATCAATGTTTGAATTTCTGATTGCATATCTAAACGTTTTACAGATTTTATGTGACCGCAGAAACTTCCTGTAGCTTGGCTTCCACTTCACGTGTTTGTTCTGATTCGAGATAGACGTTGTTTTCATAGCCTCCTGCGTTTAAGAATGCTTCCTCAGCTGTTGCTTACGGCCAGTTTCTCTCTTTGTGGTAAATGCTTGAATTTCGTAAAAAACATTCCATTAATTACTACCTTAGCATTAAATCAATTCTCTATTCACAGTATATTATAAACTGTAATAATTTCTTAGTCAGTAGATTTGCCTTTGGTTGATTTATGACCTAAATGACTGAAGTTTCCGTCAGGAAAGAATAGAATGGGATGTATCTCTTAGCATAGATTGCTTGCACTGACTGCTATACTTTTAAATGAAAATTTGATCTCACCAAGTGTGATTTTAGGTTCTTTACAGAATTTATGAAGTCCTGCAGCAATGTGGACTTGTTGGTTTTGGTTTCCGTCCAAATTGAGCATGTTAAGTACACAGCAGAAAATTCTTCTGGTAGAGTTTTTAGATGCTAAATCACATTTTCAGTGACAAATGGCTGGGTAACAGAGTTACCCATATATTTACATATATTTATATCATCATCTGCAGTTTAAATTCTTATATATTCAACCAGGTCACTTTATGTACGTGTACAATTGACTAAATGCTTGAATAATAAAAGAGACAGGAAACTGGTCTTTTTTTACAATGCAGCCATTTGACAACGCCGTGTTGTCAGCATTGTCATAGTGTGTGTTTGTGGTGAGATGTCATTATGATAGAATATGTATTTTGTCAGTGCTTTGTATGAGTTGCTATGCAATTCCAAATAGATGATACATGTATATAATCCGTCAAACATTTTAAAAATGTGTCAACAATCTGTTCTGATATGTATGTGATATGAACTTAGATAATGCTTTATTTGGGGGGGGGGGAATAAGTTTTTGTTATTGCAATATCTACTGAGTGTACTTTGATTATAAGGTATAATTGACTGAGATTATTGATATATTAAGTGGTGAATGCATACGTCATCATCATTATCATTCTCTTATTAAACAGCGATGGCATCTTTTCAAGTCTTGGAGCGCCGGGTGGTAAACTGTGTATAATGCTGAACTCTGCCGCTCCCTAGGAGGTCTTTATGTCTGAATGAGTTACCGGCAATGATGGATGTGTTGACATTTGTGACTCGTTTATCATTTCGGAGATAAGCCTATTGTTTTCTCTCTCCTGCTCTAGCTCCATTTCTGGAGTATAGGGAAAGGACGCAAATGTATTTTTAAATCAGTTTAACCTCAGTTCAACCTCAGCTTATTTTAAATTTGGTAGATAGTATGTTAAATCAAAAAAAACTTTTCACACAGACTCATCTGAACAGAGAATCATTGGTGAAATCATATAATGTAATATGAAGATAGACTGGATTATTTATATAGAATATTTCCTACACAATGGCAATTCAAAGCACTTAAAAACACACACAGGGACAGAATACAAAAATGAAATAAAAAAACAAGTTAAAAACCACGTAGGAAAAGAAACAAAACAAAGCAAAACAATAATTCAAAATGTTTTAGATATTCTAAAGGGACGGTCATAAAAAAATAAAATAAAATAAAACAGAGGAAACAAATAAAATAATCAGCTAACAAAATAAAACAGACTAAGTGTACAACAGGAAATAGATTGCAAAACAATTATATATAGGATTATATTTAGAGTAGATGTTATTTATTTATTTATAACACCAAGCATAAGTAACTTTGTATAAATAAAAGGTGACAAATATAAGAAAAACATTTAGTAAATAAGAGAAATGTATCATAACTGTATATTTATTTGTTTTATGCATCTATAATTGATATATAATAAATACATTATTTATTTATTTACCAATATGCCTATAAAATGTGTAAAAAAAAATTATAAGAAAAATAAAAAAAATCTTGAAAGAATTACATTTACATTTAGTCATTTAGCAGACGCTTTTATCCAAAGTGACTTACAAATGAGGACAATTAAAGAAATTACTGAAAAAGAGAAATGTCTTTCCATAATCATAACCTTGCATTAAATTTGGTTTATTTAATTGTTTAATGTATTTATAATTGCAAAATAAATGAATGAAAAAAATTATTTGCAAAAAAGTTGCAAGTTTATTTCCAGCAACCATAAAAAGGTGGCAAAAATAAGAAATAAATGTAAAAGTAAATAAATTAAATGTATCAATCAATAAGAGAAATATCTTTCCTTAATCATGATTTTGATTATTTATTAATTTTATGTATCTGTTTTGCAAAAATGTCATTACATTATAGTAGATGTTATTTATTTTATTTTTACCAGCAAACATCTGTATAAATATACTGTGCAACAGGAAAGAGAATAGATAGATAGATAGATAGATAGATCACGTGGAGGGAGAGAGAGAGAGAGAGAGAGAGAGAGAGAGAGCGAGTGTGTGTGTGTGTGGGGGTGAGTGTAAGTGCACAGCTATGCGACCAGCTCAAACTAGTTCGGAGAAACACAAAGAGCAGCAGAGATCATAGAGAGAGCTGAACACAGACACACGCTCACAGCACAGCATCATATTCACAGCAATAAGGCAAGTACATCATCATCATCATCATCATAACCCAACAACTCCTATTATTATACTGCAGTCGATGTGTTTCACGACGCTGCGCGTTTGAATAATAGCCTACTAGTGGGTGATAAATAATGAAAATATCAGCGATTAACCGGATTGATCAGATTTATTTGGATATGCTTATATTATAAATTGTATCTGCGTTTTAGTGCGATAATAGAATGCATTTATATTCATAATAATGTTTGGGCGTGTTTATGATGAGATATATGGCATGATATATGAAAGGAGGCGTATGGACGCACCGTGTCATAATAACAATCACGAATGTAAATAAGCGTTTAAATTAAAACACGATTTTACGACTTTTAGACTATAAAATGTTGCGTTTAATATGAGAATATTTCACGAGTTTAAAATAATAGCGTCAATATTAGGTTTAATTGGACGGCGACACTATATAGCTATCGCTAATTACATTTAACGGCGACACTATCGCTAAGTTGTTTATTATAGTTGATTCAATGGCGGATGTCGCTTTAAATAGTTGCATTCATGCTGTAATAAAGTCGTGGAGTTTGTGTTTTGGTGTGCAAGGGCGCTTTAACGCTGTCAGGGATAATGATGCTCTGTGAAGTGCCAAAGAGGACCAGCTGCCAGCAACTGCTGACCCACTTCTCCACATCAGAACCATCAGGCCTTGCGATTCAATTCCGACGGAACGCAAAGCTCCAGATGCGAGAGAGCCTGCGCTTGGGGTGTAATGCGGTCGGCGGTGAACTTTGTGCTCCTTGAGGAAGTTTTCAAAATGTCCAGTTCTGCATTTATCAAAGGCAGCATCCCACATCCCCTCTTGCATCAACAGAGCGGGGTTTGTCCTCCAATGCAAATAGGCCTACATTCAAAGGATTCGAGCGGAGGGCCCTCCCCTCCTCCTCAAGACACAGCATGGGATCTGTGTTCGGGCCCTTTCAGAGAGGGAAGCAAAACGGGCGAGATCCTGCTTTGTTCGGAGCCAGTGAATCAAGCTCCTCTAAGGCCCAGATGAAGGTCTTTGGGTACTTGGCCTCTCTCCCCGCAGAGGCTGAGGAGGGGAGGGGAGGCGGGGGACCCCTGCCGACCGCTGTTTCTCCTCGCACAAAAAGTCCGACCCCGAGGAGCCCTTCACATTTATGAGTGACTGAAGAATGGAGCCGTGCCGCGGGCTGCGTCGTGAAAGGAGCCTGTTTTAATGGAGGCAGGAAAAGGAGAAGTGCTGTGTGCTTTTTTTTTTTCGAGAAAGAGGAAAATATAGAGAGGCTCTTTTACGGAGTCACACAGCGAGCTGCTAGGATGGCGGAGGATATTGTGTACACAGTGTCTTTAATTCACAGTACAGAGAAAACATTCATATCTGATGTGTTATTATCTGATTTTGTCTGTTTTGGTGTTTCTGAGAGGACCTTTCAAACCGACTAATTAATCGGTTTGAAAAAAAAAAACAAATTAAGCAAATGAAACCAGCCTAGAAAACTGGGGACAAAATAAAATACATCTATCAAATATGAATGTTTTTGAGTAGCATACACACAACATAATATGCATTTATGTTGGTGTATGTATATAAAATATTCCATATAGAGCAAAAACACAAACAGGTGTGATGGACACCTGGTTGGATGTTGTCCTCTGCAGTGTTGTTATTAACCAAAACATATGCTTTCAAATTTTTGATAACTGAATTAAAGCTGAAATAAAATAAAAGGTAATTATAAGATTGAAAACTTGCACTTAAAAAACATATGTTGCCCTGGCAGCTAACTGAAACAAGTTAAAATGATTAAAATTAGAATTGAAATAAAAAAGAAAGCTTAACAGAAATATTAAAATATTAGTAAAAAAAAAAAAAAAAAACTTAATGAAAAAAGCACAGGCTAATTCAAAATATTAATAGTACATAAATAATAATAAAACTACGTAGTTTTATATCTGCTTGTGCATCTACATAGTGAAATTAATATCAGCTGTATTCATTTTTTTTCTCCCCAGAATGCGGAGTTTATTCTCTATAGCACTTGTGCTGCTGGTGGTGTTGATGATCACCGTGGAAGCCAGTATGAAGAAAAAAGGTTCTTATTTTTTACAAAATGACTTCAAATGATGCAATGCACATTCCTTTGGTGTGATATCATTAATAATCATTCTCTATTTTGCGACAGAAAAGGGCAAAGAGCCCAAAGCAGATGCTGAGTGCAGTGAATGGCAGTATGGGAAATGCGTGCCCAACGGCAGCGACTGTGGGGCCGGCATTCGGGAGGCGACCTGCAACGAACAGACAAAGAAAACCAAGTGCAAAGTCCCATGCAACTGGAAGAAAGACTTCGGTGGTAAGGAGATTTACTGTATATGAATACACTGAATGCATGTCTGGATGTGAATCAAATTAAAATACATTTAGACAGGCCATTCAGTCGAGTTTGTTCTTGTTTTTTTTAGCTGACTGCAAGTACAAGTTTGGTCGCTGGGCCGAATGTGATACTACTACAGGAACCAGAAGCAGGTCTGGGACATTGAAGAAGGCACTGTTCAACGCTGAATGCCAGACCACCATTAAAGTGTCCAAACCTTGCACCCCAAAGACCCCCAAACCCAAGGGAGGCGAGAAGAAGAAAGGAAAAGGGAAGGAAAACTAACTTGAAGACCACCCCAACAACCCCATTGCCCACTCAGTGGTACATTCCTATGTGACACTCCCAAATCCTCCAAAAGGTGAATGCTGAGAGGAAAAAAAAAAACTGTAGCCCTACCTGTTGTTTTTATTTCCACTTTCTTTGTTTTGTAATTATTAAATGTATGCGTCTATGCTGTTGTAATTTGAACTCTGTAGCGAATTTTTAATCGTAATTGACTTGCATGTATAAAACAGGCCGCAGCAAATCTGTTGTCTAACAAATTGTCTTTACTAAAGAGAAAAAATGGTGAGAGCCTAATTATGCCCCTAAACAAAAGTATTTGTAAATTACAGCAAACCGAATGAAGACGATTTCTGTACGTTATAACATGTAAGCTGAATGCTTAAACGAACGTCGCTCCTGGAAGTAATGGCCTATATAAAGAATCTATGTTTATAAATGTTTATGTTTTTAGATTTGATGGCTGTACAATCAAATTTACACCACTAACTGATTACTTCTACAGGTTGTGAATAAATGAAAGTGTATTTTCAATCATAGTTTCTGGTGCTTTTTTAAAAACAAAGTTTACACATTTATTGTTCAAGACGTACAAACTTGGAAAAATTACTTTAATGACGTCAATATAGTTGTACATTTGCAATTTTAGCAATGTTATAAACATAAAATAACTGGTATATTTTCACTTGTAAAACTAGAACACAAAGCAATTTCCATAAGAATGTAATTATGATTTACACAAATTTGTTTGATTTTTACCAATTTGCACAAAGAGTAACAGTCTTAAACTGTATCAGAAAGCTTTTTTTGTTGTTGTTTTTATGATACAATACGTAGAACAAATGCAGTTATAGTGACATGATGAATAACAACTCAACAAACACATTTATTTTTACTTCTCACTTTAGTAAACCACTATCACGCTCACAAAAAATATGAATCAACTTAATGACTTTGCAATACATTTAATGCGTGCAATATGAGCAACTAAATACTTCACTTTATTTACACTTTTGGCTCTGGTAAACCAGCATCATGCACACAAAAAAAGAATCAGTGTCTTCTCTAAACTATTGCATTGATTTACACAAACTGTTGGTGTAAGAATGCATTCGCAAACAACTACGATGCGTCAAAATCGTACACGTAATGCGTACTTTATCAGAAACACGATAAACACCAATAACCTCAACCAACTCCACTTTTTAACTTTTGGCTATAGTAAAACAGCTTCACAGTCACAAAACATCTGAGCGAATCAGGTTCCTCATTGGTTGGCCAGGAGTCATTGATAAGAGACTGAAGTCCGACTCATTTTAATGTCAGATTTCTGAACTTGCACATCAACAGTCGTTTAAAGGTTCTTTTGAAGGTGGCGTTACAGAGTGCGTAGCACACTGGATTTACCGTGCTGTTGATGTAGCACATAAAGTAACCCACCATCCACAGAATTTCAGGGACACACCAACGGCAGAAGGTACCAATCAGAACCATAACGCTATAAGGTGTCCAAGTAACAATGAAGGCCAGAAGAACAGCAAGGACAGTCTTTGTCACCTTCCTCTCTCTCAGAGCCTTCCGTCTGGCATTCTTGGAGACAACCTTGGACGCTTGACCTTGAACCTGAATGGCAGTATGGTTTTGAAAACAGTGAGGTTGCGTTGTCCTGCTAGTTTCCACACACACGGTCAAGGTCTTCGGTCTTGAGGTTGCTGCATCCAGCCCTCGTTCTTCCATAGAGGAATCAGGACTTGACTCCAAGGAGTCATCAGTCTTGCTGAACTCTACAGAAAAGAGCCGTTTCATTCTAACGAGCTTTGAATCATGTTTAAATGTGCATGAGTCATCCGATTTAATGTCATTCACTAGGTCAGGGTTTGCGGTTGACGTTCCTCCACTTGTCTTAGACTGATCAAGCAGGTTTGCGGATTCAGGCATCAACTTATGAACCCGTCTCTGACTGGCCAGGGATATTTTCGTGTACAGTACCGTCATTATTACAACGGGAATGTAGAACGCTGGGATAGTGGTTGCCAGGGTTACAGCAGGGTTCGCGAGGAGCAGGATGTAACATTGTCCCTCTGTGACCTTGCTCCTGTCCCTCCCAGCCTGCCAAAGCAGGATAGCTGGAGCCCAGAGAAGCAGAGACTGTAACCAAGCCGCGGCAATCATCACCCCAGCCCACCTTGCAGTACGTTTGGTTGGGTAACTCAGAGGCCGGGTCACACAGAAGTACCGGTCAAAACAGATCAGTAGGAGGTTCATCACAGAGGCGTTACTCACCACGTAATCCACAACCAACCACAAATCACACATCTGTGGTCCCAAAGGCCAATATCCCTTTACGGCGTACACAATGTAGAGATTCATGGAGAAAACACCGACGATAAGGTCCGAACAAGCAAGACTAAAAAGGAAGTAGTTGTTGATGGTTCGGAGATTGCGGTTGACTTTGATTGAAAGCAGAACCAGAACGTTGCCCAGGACTGTTAGCAGGCTGATGCAGCTAGTGACAAGTATTATGACGACCACCCCTACAGTCCCGAATGCACGACGTGGTCTTCCTGATACCAAGTACGATTCCTCGGGCAAGGGACTGTGCATGCTACTGTTGAGCATGATGGAGGAACTTGTGGAGGAGTCTGCGACAAGAAAACGGAAATGTATCATAAATTAAGTTTTAAAGAGGTGTTTAACTTGAGATATGTCTCTATAGATAGTATATAGTACACTTTATATGCTAAAATACACAACTCTAATTGGTTGCACATAGAAATGAAGAGATAAATTTGACAAAACAATAAATTATGACCCTAACATGATCTAATCAGCAAACTTACCGTTAAAAACGAACCACTCAAAGTCCCTTGAGAAAATGACAGATCCAGTCTCCATGATCTCCTGCTCCGTCTGTATGAGAGAACGACTGGGAGGACTTGTAATTCCTCAGACAGTAACACCCATCCTAACCTTCCGAATACATAACCAGGAACAAGTCATCAAACCTCTTTAGGCTGTATCAAAACACTAAATTTACTGGAAGATGATCAGAGTAGTGTGGAACGATCGTGTTACTGCTGAATTCCTCCTAGTTTCGTGCTGCCCCCTTTTTAAAGCATGTATGCTTAATGCAGTTCCTGTCATCTAAAGAGGAAGGCAGCAGTTACGTAAGGGATGGAATCTAATTACCTGACCTGTAATGAAGCTCCACAGCTGTTTCACATCTTTTTAATTTTATTATTATTCTATTTTAATATTTTAAATATCACACATACTACAACAAATGACAAATGTTTACATAGGTAAAGTTGGGGGGGGGGGCTGAGTAAGTTTTATGAAAACAATGCAATATATAAGATAATTAAAAGAACTAATTATACATAAAGACAGTTATTTTAAGACAAATAAGCACATTTTCCTAATTTTTATGACCATATTTTGTTACAGATGTTTGCTTGTTTATTTATATTTATTTGAATTTTAAATTGCGATCTTTTTCAGGAGATTTTGGAAAAAAATGTTGCTTAACGGTCATGAAAATTGACAAAGGAAATAAAAATATAAATAAAAAATAAAAATATGCTAATTAATAATAAAAATATAACTTGGGGAAATTTGTCATTGCATTGATTAGTCTTGGTATTTTTTGTTAATGTCCAAGATTTTTTTTTATAATTCCCATTATTCTCTGTCATGTTTGTCATTGCTGTAGTACAGTATTTTTACTGCACATATTTAAAGGAATAAAATACTTCAAGTATAACAAATGCTGTCTTTTTTTAAAAACTGGTATTATGCAAAAATATGGCCCGGATAGTTTCATGAAATGCATTGTATTGTAATGAATAAAAATAAATAATATAAAAAACAACTGAATTAATTTCCATATTCCCATTTTATTAAAACTCTCATAACCGTCATTACCACAGGATCTTTGGTGTCCCACAAAATTCTTCTACAACACCTAGTCCTCATTTTCACTAAATAAAGAACCAACTACACATTTATGGTAAGCCATAACAACACGTCCCTCTGGTCTGGTCAGAAAAGGGAGTTGAATTCTGGTCCTTTCCACCATCATGATTTCAGCTAAGGTACCGATCCAGCAGTGAGAGCATATACATAACCATACATCCAACAAGAACACAATTACAGTTTTTAAAATGTCACACTTTCGGTCGCCGTCAGCTATTCTCGTCAGAACAAATTAATTGTCAGGATGCCTAAAAGTCTAAAACAAGCCTTGCACGAAACGACTTCACAAAAATAAGTTGTGCATATGGTCAGAAATGAGTAAAATTAGGAAAAGGTGTGTCCTTGATGGAGTATAACGTAAAAAGGTCCTTCTCTCTTATCATAGAAGCATTTTTAAAAATCAGGATGGCATTTGTCATTCACACAAAGGGTAAATAAATAATCGAAATGACAGCCAACACAACCAGACTTCGGATTAACCAATATTTCTACCAATAACTAAAACACTCAACAGTCAAAAGGCTTATGAAGAAGCTATTCTGGTTTTGTCACACATCAGAACGGCTTTTTGTGGTTCAGTAAGGAGAAGATTCCCCAAGGCACTGAACTCATGGAAAAACACCAAAGGATATGTGGTTTCCGAGAGGTTCCTCAGCTGCCATTGTTTGCGATGAGACCTCAATCCAATAGAATCTTACATCCAAAAACGTTCAAAACACAAACCATTCCTATTGGGGACCGTGTTTGTTTTTTGTTTTGTTTTTTACAAAAAAAAAGCTACTAATTCAAGCCAAGGAGCTAAAATAACAAAATCTTTTACACAAAAACAGAGGGAGATATTTTTATAAATGCTTGTTAACGAAAGGCCTGTGCATATGCAAATGCACTGACAAATCAAATCGCTAGAGTTGACCAATCGTACACGAGAATCTAAACAAGCACAATAGAGCTCACAAGGCAAATGTCATAAAAATAAAAATAAAAAATCATCCCGAAATATGGATTTAAGTTTTTTCCCCACGATTTATCATCTCTACATTTACAATGCTACATTTATTTATAATAAAACTCTCTAGGTTCAGTGGAGGACACTCACAGACATACACATCCACACATACAGACAGTGCCCGTCGTCAGTGACTCTCAGCAGTGTGCAGCGCGCATATCGGGCCGTCTCTCTCCTAAGTGTCCAGTGCCCAAGAAATACTCTATTATGTGTTATTCAAGAGTGATTATCGCTCATAATCCAGATCTATGATAGAGATATGTCTGGTTTATTGTCTGTAACACTGTTCTCGGTGCAGGAGAAAAGGGCGCTTAAGTGCAATCACTTGCCATTTGTCTTACACATCATAAGCGGCTTGTTGCGATTGGTAGAATGGATTGAAACCTTCGGCCAATCAGCTGATTTGAGGTTAATTAACGGCGAATTGGCTTAACTGCATAAAAAGTGTTACGTTTAAAGTATGAAAATGATCTGGCACAATAATTTTAACCATCTTACATTTCCTTTCTGAGTATTAAGGTATTTCTGGGAAATTATATCAGTAGGATTAGTAAAAATGCATCGTGTTAAATCGCAACAGTTGCAACAATAAACATGAATTGACTTGTACACACAAGTAAACGGTCACAAATGTATAAAAGCCCAATAAAAACTGCTCAGCGTACCAAAATTTCACTTGATGCGCATGTGCGTTCTACAGCCTACATGCTAATTTGCTTAAGCCCCGCCTTCCTCATTCAGCTTCAGCCCGCCTCCTTGTATGAAAGCTCTGGAACTGGACACACATGCAGATATGAGAGATCTGAACCAGCTTGAGGGTTCCCAAACTGCTTTTTATCCGACGGACAATTACAGATGACATGCTTTCAGAAGTGTATTTTTCAAACAACAGATAAATAAATTCAAATAAAAAAAACATCTTAAAATTCGCCATCTGGAAGTTTAGTAGGACACATGCTCACGCAGATGAGTCTTTCCAGTCTGAGAACTTCAAAGCAGACGTTGTTCTAGATACTGATCAACTGAATGACTTGACCACTGAAAGTCACATTATCGCACACACAAAAAACAATCGCGTCAAGCATAATCTCTGAATTTAAACACAAAAACCGTTAGAGGATGTTGTGTGAGTTAGTGTTTAGCTGTGAAGAGTCTGTACTGTTTTACAGTTCCTCAAACCGAAATGTCCTGAAGACAACAGACCCCATGGGACCCAAAGGAATCGTAAGGACACGCCCCCAGCCTCATCTGGCATTTCTATTGGCTGATGATTTTTCCTAAAGCTTGAAAGGGTGGTTAAAGGGTTACTCCACCCCAAAATGAAAATTTTGTCATTAATTACTCACCCTCATGTCGTTCCAAACCCGTAAGACCTCCGTTCATCTTCGGAACACAAATTAAGATATTTTTTATGTATTCGGAGAGCTCTCTGACCCTCCCATAGACAGCAATGTAAGTAACACGATCAACGTCCAGAAACGTAGCAAGGAGATCGGTAAAATAATCCATGTGACATCAGGGGTTCAACCGTAATTTACGCAAACAGCGTATGCTGTTCTGTGTCAGCCGCACCACACAAATTACGGTTGAACCCCTGATGTCACATGGATTATTTTACCGATCTCCTTGCTACGTTTCTGGCCGTTGATCGTGTTACTTACATTGCTGTCTATAGGAGGGTCAGAGAGCTGTCAGAATACATCAAAAATATCTTAATTTGTGTTCCGAAGACGAAAGGTCTTACGGGTTTGGAACGACATGAGGGCGAGTAATTAATGACATAATTTTCATTTTGGGGTGGAGTAACCCTTTACCTACAACCATGTTATTCCGTACTGAAGTACGGGAAGGATTGAAGTATGATGCCCTTTCTCGCATGGAATGATGAAATGTCTGAGATTCAACCTTGAAAGGAAGAAAACTTATAACTTAAGTGCAACACGCAAGCGCAATAATGATGCTTCCCCAAAGCAAGAATCTGTTGTTTTGACAAAAAAGATGAGGCTGGCATCTCCCGGTTAAGGAGATGCCATGAAAAACTTGGCACTCATTCATTCCCAAATAAGGCCAGAGCAGGAGGAGTCAGAACTGAGGAGGGAAGTTCAGTGGCTCCGCCCTAAATGCTATGTTCTATGTGTAACAAAGGGTCCACCACGAAATGCTCCAGCACCATGTAGACCAGTTGAGATGTTCGTCTCTGTGAAAACCAGACCTAAGACTATCTGCCGTACAGGTCATCAGGGTAATCTCGGCTCCGGCTTTCACTGTAGCTGTTGCTATGGTCATTGTTATTGTTGTTGCTACGGTTGGACATATCCAAACCACTCGCGGATGGGTGGTGCTGTACATCATCAGCTTGACGATCACCAAACAAGTTAGTCTCAACCATAGGAGACGCCCCCGCGACCTCAGAACGAGTTGTAAACTGTGACGGAAGTGGGGCACCGCTGGACCCTGATGGCCCAGGAGCTTCTAGAGAGTCTACCAAGGGTTCAGTGTGAAAAAGAGTCGAGATACCGAGTCCAGCAGGCATTTCCGAGGTTGGGTTTCCCACCTGAGTTGTCCTGACCAAGGTCTGTGAGCCACGGTGAATCCGATGACTGACAACAATGTTGTTTCCAAAGCCGCCCATGGAAGCCATTGTAGTGCTGCGTTCCCGCTGGACTACGGCTGTCATTCCTCCCTCCGCCATTAGGCGGCGGATCCGAGACAGAGCGTCTTCTCCTGGGCCGGGCTCGGCTGCTGGGTCCGCTAAAAAAACCAGAAAGGACAGTGAGACGCTCATATCAGATAACAGCAAAACGAAGATTCAAATTGCGTTAAAAATTCAGATTTCGTTAAGAATGGTGCAAGCAACGCCACAGTCATGGGTTTGATTCCCAGGGAAAACAAGAACTGATACTTTGA